TTGAAAATTTAAAACAAGGTTTCTCGTAATAGTAGTTAATACTGTAACCAAAAAAATCAAACAAATTTATAAACACAGCATTTTTTAAATAGATATTAAGTTCAAATACTTTGATATTTTAAGTATTAAAAATAATTTAAAACAATACATTAAAAAAAAAAAGTAACCACTATGGTATTTCCATAGTGTAAACAGTAAACCGAAAACTGCATAAATATAATAAGCAACATTTTTGACTAATATTATCTTTAATACTATCTTTTTTTATACATTTTAATATTCTTTAATTATTGCAAGATGATGGTTATAATAATTAATCATTCATATTTTGTACCTATTTTGTGATAATAACAGACACATTTGAACATTTCTAAGTTTCTTATCAATCAATAATGTTTTTTATAATGCTCGTTGTAAACGAAGACTCATATTAGTTAACCCAATTAATTATTTAATTTAATAATTTACATTTGAAAAAAAGGGATTTTTAATTTAAATTTCAAGCTGTAAAAAAAACTAAATTCTAACTTTTAGCTTCATTAAGTTTTATATTTAAGTCTCTTAAATTTAACTAATTGACAAAATTAATGACTTGCTTAACTTGTCTTATGTATCATAAATTCAGAGCAAAAACTCTTTTTTTAGCTCTAGTGTAACCTACCATTGTCTCGGTGCACAGGTCAGGTAGAACAACCTTTTTGAAAAAAATTTATTTTTAATTTTTATTAAATTTTTAAATTTTTTAACAAAAATAATAATAATAAATTAAATATTTTTCATAAACATAATATTATTATATGAAAACTAGCTTTTAGTGGTTACTGGTTTGAACTTTTATAGTTATTACTATTTTATATATTATTACGGTCTAAACGGACTTTCCAATCAATATGTAACTATGGATTACAAGCGAGACACTATATCCAGCGCGACGGTAGTGGCGCGAAACTAAGTAAAAAAAAAAAACGGAGTAAAAATAGCGAAATAGCCACTAACGTATAATAACAGGACACCGAGTTTTAACATTGAAAAATCGTCCTAATTTATGTCAATTCTTTGCCAACATCTACAGGGCAAACGGCTGAACATATAAAGTAGTATGAAGTATCAATCGATCAGAAATATTGTGCAGATGGGAACAGAAGAATTCGCTAGCAGATTGGTATGATAGTTAGTAAGTTATAAGCAAAAATGTTAAAGTACTTTTAAGACCGATTTTGCGTACGGAAGAGTGGGGATAAGCGATGAGTCGATGTACTACGACGATGCACAAACGATATTATTACTCCAAGGTGACAGCTGACAATATTGCAAAAACAAACAACAAACCATTTCGTAATTTGCAGTTTGCACTCGATTGTTCGCGACGTGTTCATACTTATATTATTATATTACTAAGTAACGTTTTACGTGCAGTAAGAGAGATTTGGCGTTGATCGTTTCGGCATATCGTTTTCTTACAATTATAATAATAACAATTATTATTTTTATTTGTATACTCTGCAAGTGCGTTAGTTACGGAAGAATTTGGGGGCTGTTTCGACAACCTAACAATTTAACTTTCTTTATTTTACTCAGTTTCTTAATAATACCTTAACAATGGCTTTTACTTGTAAAAAAGATACAAAAAAAAAGGAAAATTAGGTATGACAAGGAGAAGGAGCGTATTTCGTTAGAAAAAAAAATGATCAAAAAAATATGATTAAAAATACATCAACATCGACATTGAAAATAGTTGATATCACACCAAAAACACTTCGTTATAACTCCGTGTAAAAAAAAGCTTAGTTAAAAAAAAAAAAAATTAATAATGATTAAAGCTTTAAAAGACGTGATATAATATGGAAATTAAGTAAAATGACATTTTATAATATAACAAATACCTATGATGACAAATAAGATCAATTGTAATGTTAAATACTTAGTCAACATATTATGTTTAACTATTTGGCAGGACGTAGAAGTATACTTAAATAAATACAATTAAGTTACCTCTACAGTATTTACAGTAATTAATAATGTATCAACAATATGTTGACTAAGTATTTAACATAACAATTGATCTTATTTGTCATCATAGGTATTCGTTATATTATAAAATGTCATTTTACTTAATTTCCATATTATATCACGTCTTTTAAAGCTTTAATCAATATTATTTTTTTTTTTTTTTAACTTAGCTTTTTTTACACGGAGTTATAACGAAGTGTTTTTGGTGTGATGTAAGACAACATCTCACATAGCATGATGCAGCTAATCATGTTCACACTACAGTGATTAGATTTAGGTGCCCGATTAATATAGATAATCCACTTTTCAGGCATGACTCATACAATTAGTGACACCAGAATTGTCTAACAAGTAACATTCATTAGTACTTACATTATTTTGGTGTGGTCTGCAGTTTTATTAAAATGGAAAATGAACTTATTATATCAACAATGCTAAGTGAAAAAGGTGAAACATTAAAAGTTTTAATGATTTTAAATTTTGATATCACAAAAGTTATTCGAATGGAGATATTAGATAGAAATGCACAAATAAAAACTGCAGAGCTTTTTCACGAATATATACACAAGATAAACTGAAGGTTAATGTCAGTGGTTTAATTCACATTCACGAAAAACTAGAATTAAAAATTCTAAATCGCCAAAAGTTTAGCAATCGTTTAAAACGGAAAGCAATTACAGACGTATCAGAATGACCTAGTAAATTATTTCATAGACAATTAAAAGAAGAAAACTTGTCCACACTAACATTAACTGATGTTACGTAGAAAATAATATGCATTATGCACGCACAACAAGTTACTCTCAAATACCAAAAGCTATAAGTGATGTTCTTTCTGTTTTAAAATTCTATGGAAATTAAAACTACAGACAACGAACAATTTATACTATTTAATGACTCGAACACTGGCATTATAGTTATGTTCTCATGTCAAACTAACTTAAGCTTTTTTAGCAAAATAAGTGTATTTTATGTAGGTGGAACTTTTAAGTATTGCACTAAATTTTTCTGTCAGTTATTCACAATTCATGGATTACAAAATGGTTTTTATATTCCACTTGTATTTTTTTTATTAAAAGATAAACAAACATTGAGTTACTTTAAGGCATTTAAAGCAATTAATCACGAAATAACCAAAATAAATCCCTCATATTCTCCAAAAATAATTTACGTGGATTTTGAAAAGGCAATACACAATGCAGTTAATAGAACATGGCCAAAAACCTTAGAGGAGGTTGTCGATTTCATCTCCGCCAGTCTTGGTAGAGAAAAATACAAGAACTACGCTTGGCTTCAGTCCATATCCAAAATAATGAAATACTCAAGTACTTAGCATTGACGTTTAGGAACCACACGAAGTTGTTTTTCCTATGATATTATGATTTCACAGTTTCAATTTTTTATAAAACCTGACAGGTATCTTTATTATTTCAATATCACTTTAGGAATCACTCAACAATAGATAAAAAGGTAACATGAATTGGGTCCGGGTCGCAAAAAGATTCGTTTACCAGTTTTGGTACGCAATTGGAGTGCGTCCCATTTTCTACACATAATAATATAATTACCAAAGGCCTAGTTACCGAGGGTCATTAAATAATATAATTCACCCCCAATAATTAAATAATAATAATAATTGTACATTCCTACAATAAAGCTCTATCAAAAGATTTTTAAATTTAGATTTCCTAACACCTATTTTGTAATTATTAAGGTTTCTTTTGGAATGTATATTGACTATTTAGTATAAATTATATAAATTATAAACTGCTACAATATTATTGTTATTATTGAATCAACAGTTTTAGTTAGCACAGTTTAATCAGCACTCTGTTTTTTTCGTAGGTGTCAAAAATTTGTTGTAACCCTTTTGGTGAAAATGTGATAAATATTTATTGAATTAACCAGTTATTGTAAAAAGCATTTATTTTATTTTCGCAAAAAAAAACTCGAAAAATATTTATGAAGATTAACGACAAAGTAGTGAAGCTAACTACGTATATGTATATATTTTTTGCTATATTTCAATAATACAATTTCCTAATTAATCAATTTATGATCATTAAATAAAAATCGTATGTTATTGAAAAAATTGAAGTAAAAACAGCTATTACTTTGTTTGGTATTTGTTTGAGCTGTACGTATGATTTACGATATACATATATATATATTTAGTATATTTTAAATCGTACCCATGTGGCTCAAACAAATACCTAACAAAGTAATTACTACTTTTACTTCAATTTTTTCAATTACACACGATTTTTATTTAATGATCATGAATTGATTAATTATGTTGGGTAATAAAATGCATATGATAAACATTAGAGATAAAGACGTTATCACTTTCATATACAGCTGAATGGTTAACATTTGGCACGGATAAAAATACCTAAAAACTGTTGAATAAAATATATTAAAAACAATATTTCTTGATAAAATATTTTGAATTTCCTGATTTACACTAACAGATCTTACAGTACAATGTATTAATACATGCACTAAAAATTTATAAAATTACCTGAAAATGCTAAAAAAAATTATATAAAAATGGAAAAACATTGCGAAAAATGCAACAAAAAAATTTAACCTTTACAGTATTTGTTAAATGAAATCAATTATGCACTTGGAATGAATTTTCAAATAAAAGTAATCCACTAACATTGAAATTTAGGACCTACATTTAAAAATAATAAATTATATTATAATTTATAATTTTAATTTTAAGTGCAATAATTTCAATATTTTTAGTTGATAGTATATCTACAATCTAAGTTGGGTGTTATTATGTGGTATGGTTAAAGTAAGGTCAGTACACCGTCAGTACAAAGTGTGTTGACATTATAGTACAGTATTTATAATTTAACATAAATATTTATGAGTCAGAATGTGGGCCGATAGGTTCGTGGTGATCACAGCAGTAGTATTGTGCTGCAATGGTGGGATACTGACCGAAAGTGTAAGATATGAAAAACTATAAATTTGTATACCAGAGCTGTATTATTTTGTGTAGAACATTATCTATTGGTACTGCTAGTACGCTATTAGTCTCAGATTTCTTTTCCACTCAGTATAATCGGTTTAGTTATTAATATTAATTCGTAGTTGTCACTCGTCAGCTTTGGAGTCTGTTCTGTAACAATTAACCTGATTCGCATCTTTTTTCGTTTCGTACAACTCCTATTTTGACTTGAAAACATCGCTTATTAGGCACACTGTAGTATAGGTACTTACCCAGCAGCGTACCTACCGCATAATATCTCCATCCGTTATCTATATCAAGGCGACACAGTGTCTGCTGCATATATACAGAGTACTAGCAGTTCCTAGTAAGTAATGTTTTTTTTAAATAATTAAATATATTTCATACAAAAAATTGATTGGTATTCAATACATTAAGTAGAAATATTAAACTCATACTTTATTCGTAGAAAAGTATAAATAATTGAGAAAATAATAATAACGATATGATATACAAATTACTTAACCATTATTATTTCCTAAAATAAAATCACTTGAATGTATACACATATTTATGATACATATGGAATTGTGTATAAAGGGTGATTGTCTCAACAGAAATTAACTACTGAATATCACAAAAAGTATAAACGGTGTTAAAAATATTTTTCTTTACATAATTTAAACCACCAAGTGGCCAATACCTATAGTAAATTATGATTTTGTGTGTGTTCTCTGAGCCATTTTTGTGGTTTCCTATTTAAACAACAAGTCCATACATCACAACAATTTTAAATATTTTATCTGTAGTTGAAAATTTGATACTTTTTATATAACAATGTAGACATTTAAAAAATAAACAGTAAAAAATAATATTTAAAAAAAGGATACAGATGTGATAAGGATTTTTTATTTTTGGTTATGTCTCAGCTTAAATATTTTACTAAACACAAATCTGGAAAGTCGCTCTGCTGTGTATTTAGTAGGTAGTAAGTGTCGAGTGTACCTCTTTGTTGTGTAGATATGTCACTGTCATAGATGATTTCATATATAGTGGTGTAAACATTCAAGTTCTTACAAATTATTTTTCGTTTAAATATCGAATTTTATCAAAATATCAACTTCAAACTTGTTTTACGAATATTGTTCAACCTATTTATTTTTTATTTTTAGAAACCACTCCAAAAATCATTCTTCTTTGAGTGATAACTGGGGCGTATAGTTTTGAACTAACCACGAGATAGTCAAGATTATCGTCCGATGTACACGATGTTTGGCAACGCAGATCCGATGCAACAGAACGCAAACTCGTTCGAAGCAGAAAATGCCCAACACAATTTATTGCTTCTGGTAAACCTGGTGATCAAAGTGAATGACTTAATAAGTAGACAACATGTTGACAAAAAATCTTCAATGGTATTTAAAAAACTGTTTGAAATCATTTGCAATGCTTGGGAAGAGCAGACCTACAAGCTCAGCAATGCCTTGTGGAACACGTTCAAACATTGTGGTGGAACAGATTTGTTGATTAAAAATAATTGTGCGTCCGAATATGAAATCGTACAATTTTCGAGCGATAGACTTGTGGAAAAAAGCCAAACAGAAACTAACGACTACATATTGAAAAACGTAGAAGAAAAATTCTTGCGCATAGTACCTAAAGACAAGACTCAAGTTAGCTCGCTCGATATATTTAAGTTTAATTTCAGTAAGTTTTATTATATTTTAAACATTCATAAATACTCATTTATCTTTCTTAACGAAAATTCAAAGCTCAGTGCTAAAAAAAAATTATTGTATTTTTCAGGAATCTTTGAAAACTTATTCAAACAATCCGATATCACTTTCATTGACCCCAACGAACTCGTTGGTTTGGGCGTACTTCTCGACGAGTGGCGACGACGAGATTTCGTGTCTCTGAAACAAACCCTCAATGCACTATTCAACTTATGGAGGCCGCATGGATGCCCAAAACACAAAAATTGTATGATAAAGCATAACATACACACTCGGTTTTTCACATTGATGTTTAAGACTGAAGACAATGTCAAGAATTACATTGCCATTTTGGTTACCGATAATGAAATCAGGACAGCAATAATTAAACGTAAAATACCGACGGAAATATTCAAGTTTAGTGTAGCCAATGTCCGTTGCCAAAGCCAAATTTGCATGGAAAAATGCACTCCTGTTTTTAATTCCAATAGCGAGGAAACGTCAAAAGCGTCTAAAGCCAGAATCAAAAAGCAGCTTGATAAGACAAGTATATTCGGAGCCATAAACGTTATCAAACCACTGGAGAAGGTGATCGTTAATAACACAGCATCCGAATTAAGGGATCAATCAAGTCGGTTGACTGTCGAAGAAGTGCCTAATAACAGGCTCAACATGTGTGTTCACCAATGGTCCGCGGAGGAAGTCCATAGATGGTTCAAGCCAATTGGGCTTACCGAGTTTGCGGATAATTTATTGAAAAATCGAGTCGATGGTGATCTACTATTGCGTTTAACCATAGACGAATTGAGAAACGAAATCGGAATACTCAACGGAATAATGAAAAAAAGGTTTGTATAAGTATACACTTAGAGAACTGACTGTTTAAAATACCTTATCCAAATGTATTGTGGTGTTACGCATGCGCTGCGTCTTCGTCCTGTGACTGTCGAGTACCAACGCTTGCAAATGAGAAACAGTGGGGGGAACCAAAGTGTGAGGTTGCAGAGTGGAAATGGAAGTCGACGACTGATTTTTGTCGGACCACGCCCCGTTTTCTCCCTGAACGGACTTCAGTTCGGAAGTTAACCAATTGCGCTTAAAATGATACTATACTTCTTACGCTAGGTCATTTTCTAGGTTGATAAACTCCGTGCCATTAGAGAACGCATACGGCTCGCGCATCCGAATGATCGCCTTTCTTTCATTTTGAGGTCACATGTCGGCGTCTCCCTAGTGGTACTGTCATTTGCAACGTTTATAATATTATAAAAAAGCGTATTGATAAATAGGTTTTTTTCAGATTCAATAAAAAAAAAATTACAAACCTAGGTACATTAAACATGTCCAATGATCGCCAATATTAATAATATTAGTACATTTTTAATCTATACCTATAATAATACACATAAATATATTATGTAATTACAATTTAATAATATTATTCTATACTCTGTTCAGAATAAGAAAACACCGGGGAGGCGGACGAAGACTGCTTCTAGTTTGAGCATTCGCCCCACTCTCCACAACAGACCATTGCCGTCGACACCTCGCACTCTGCCTACACCGCTCACCATGCCGTATGCGCGAGTGCGGTGCGTTCTTATTCTGAACAGAGTATATATTACAGTATACTACTTTTAATATAATATTTAATTGTAAACAGTATATAAGGATCATAAAATATAAGCAGCGCAATTGGTACACTTACTTTAAAATACAAATTTGGATTTAGGCGCAATTGGTGCATGCCCTATAGCTCGACTCACTTCCTTTATTATGTCATATAAGTTCATAGATGTTTTCATACACCGATTAAGAGTTTATAGTTTTCTCTTCAGTCTTTATTGCTCTTAAAATTTGTATTTCTTGTATTATCGCTTATTAAATTACTTCATTATTCGCTGTAATACATGTAGGTATTACGCAGGTCATAGTTATTAACAATATGAATAGCTAAAAATTAAAAAGTTATTTTTTTATACTTTGTTATAATATAGGTAGGGAATTCGAATTTTTTCGTTATCTCTCGTTCCGCTGCTATTACGTTTAATTTTAAAATAATAACTTTTTTTAATACCGAATACCTATTTAAGATTTCGCTACTATGTTTTGTACTTCTTGGAGGACGCTCACATAATTTATAATTTATAAACTTAATATATTTGTAAGCAACTAACAATTAAATTAAGAAATTAAAAATGTTCTATAATACATCGATTTCCCATAAACATGTAATTATTTTTATATTTTCTAGATTTGTAAGGGAGCTAAACAATTTAAAACAATCAGCGGATTACAGTAGTATTGACACAACAGATTTAAACTCGTTTCTAAAATCAATCAATTTGGAGTATTCAGTGTACACGTATCCTATGTTGATTGCTGGGGTCACTAGAGATTCAATGAGGTATAATAAATTCCATCATTGCAATTTCGACCTTAAAAGATATACCAAATTAATCATACATTTTTGTTTTTGTAAATCATTCACAGTATAAATTAACATTTATCATCAAATAAATTTAAACAATTATTGTTTTAAATAATAAATTGACATTAATTTAGGTTTGTAACTGATGACCAACTCAAAAATGACTGTGGAATTTCAAACGGTGTTCACCGAAGTTGTATAATAACCTCGATCAAGGGTAAATTATTGTTTTAAAGAATTAGATTATTATTATTATGCATTAAATTAAAAAACATTGTACAGAAATGCCGGCGGTGTACGTAGAAAACATAAACAAACATTGTAGCCTCAGCGTGTACATCAGTTACAACCGATCCACCGATTCACTGCTGGCTAGGTAAATAACTCCTATCCTATGTAAAATTAAAATATGTTTCATACAAAAATCGTTAAAATAACAACACTGACTTATTACAGCTTAATTAAAGTACACTTGAAAATTCGAGGTTACAATAATGTGTTCCTCGACGTGAAACGTTCGAATGACGCCGAATCTCGCAATAATGTATTGCAGACCATAAGACAGACACAAAACTTTATAGTTGTGTTGACGCCAGGTTCATTAGACAAGCAGCTGATGAATTCGCCAGCCCGTGATATCGAACATTTTGATGTTATTCGCGAGGTAAATGATCCCCTCGCACAGACGTTGCACCACCATGCCATTATATTATAATATGGTACAAGATATTAAGAGAATTAGTTTACTGTCCTATAGGAAGTCACAACCGCGAGAGAAGGCCAGTGCAATATAATACCAGTATTGGACAAAAATTTCTCTTGGCCTCCGCCTGCACTGATACCAGACGACATGAAACACTTGTGCGAATTCAACTCGATAAGATGGGTGCACGATTATCAGGATGCGTGCGTGGACAAGTTGGAGACGTTTATGAACCAATTTTAGCGACTCAAATAACCCTATACTATCGGTACATAGACCATAACAAAATTAATACCCATATGCATTAAAATGTATATAATATTGTTATGGTAATCTACTGGTACCTATACTTATAATTACAACTTTTTTTAATTATTATTGTGCTTATTTTTATTAGTTCATTTTCGATTATATACTCATAAATCTTAAATAAACTTAGTACTGACACCGATAACATTAAGAGGATATCACCGCAATATTTGTTTTCTCTCTCAGACTCGCGAGCAACATAGACAAAACGCAATCACCTGAAATCTTTTTTTCGTGTGTTTTGAGTAACCTTAGATTAAAATCATCTATAACAAAAATTATAAAGAATACAATTTATGAGGTTATGACGTATCTGTTTTATATTTGTGTTAGTATTTGACTTTGTATTCGGCTTGAATGAGTGATTTTCTGTTAAGATTATTCAAAAACATAAAAAAAAAAGATTCGTCGTAAATGCGTTTTATCTACGTCGCGCGCGGGCCAGATAGAGAAAACAAATAGTGCTCTGATATCCTCTTAATTAGAATTAATTGAGCACTGACACCGATAACAATAATTAGAATTACACTTATTGTTATATTACGCATTTACCTATATTATATTATTATTAAATAAACTGTTTGAACAGTATAATTTTATGTTTACAATAAATTAATTAGAAACGCGGCCAAGTCAAATGTGAAGTTAGTATTGATTGTTATAGACATGATTTTATGATAATAATGTATTCTGTGCAGTACATAATGATTAAATGATTTTTGATAAAACTATTTTATGAATGATTTCAAATATATACTCTGTAAATACAATTTATATTAATATGTTTATATTAAAAATAAATTTTATTGGTGATTTAGTAATTGTTTTATTTTATCTATTGAAATTCCGATCAACTACAGATATTCAAACAAACATTTTTTTTTTGAAAGCAAACCATTAATTCTGCTATTAATTATTATATAGCTTAATAGTGAACATATTATATAGCATTGTAAAATAATAATTAAAATTAAAAGTACAATTTATAACATCTGATTTACTTTAACAAACTGTTTAATGTATATTTTTAATTTTGTATTTTGATTAAAGTTAAAAAGCATTTATTTAAATTTTGTTCATAACAATTCTGTTTTGGAATGTAGTTTTTATGTACAATAATTTTATTTGAGTACCTACATTGCATTTTGTATTTTAAAAAAGTGATAGATTTTATCAATCCCTGCTATTAGATTACAACGTTATCAAGCCAACTATCGTACTACACCTATGACTAAGACTATATACAAATATAGTTAAGTTTTTTTTTTTAATCATAAATTAATTTCAAACAATAAACTTATACTGAACTATCTATTACACTCTATCGGTTATTTTATGGAGTTAAAACGGTTTGAATTCTAGATAAGATCGTTTTTTTATTACTGATAGCCGATAAGTTGAGTCAAATTATACTTGGAAATCGGTGAAAACATCGACATTTAAAAAGTTGCCAACTAAGAACCGCAACGCTGTACAGTATGTGTCTAGAAAAGTCATAGTAATGGATGTGTTACATTTGAATTCAGTGGTATAAATTATTTTATACATATTTTGTATATTAAAAATGAGTCTATATTACCCACTAAGCACATTTCATGATATTATTTCTATGCAATAATTCAAATGAATTTTATAATTCAATTCAATTATTTCATTTCTATTCATTCCCTAACCTAGCCAACCAAATAAATCACATTATAGTAAAAGTAAACAAATAGATAAATAAACAATGGATGCCATACTATATGTGATAACGCATGGTGACGTATAAAACAACGTTATACAAAATCTAACTAATATCAGAATATCCTAGGGTTCAAAAAATCAACGAACGGGATAAAAAATTTCAATTCATAATAAAATTAAAAACGCCTGTTTAAAAAATATGAATAGTATTAAACATTTGCCGCCTAAATCTAACTGTGCTTAACTTCACATCCTATAACCTAACTAATGTAACTAACAAAAAATATATAGCGTATGCATTACCTGTATACTGTAAGTTATTTCTAATAGTATTATTTACTAAAAGTTAAAAAAAAATTAATTATGAGAATTCAATTTTTGTAACGTCTTTGAATTCGTTTAGTCATTACAAATCATATAACAATATATGTTATCTAACTAAAAAAAAATAGCTGATAAAAATTTACGAAGCGTATACGTGCTTGCAGGCATCAAAAGGTTTAAATTACTCTTATGCATTTTAAATAATTATGAACAATTAGTTTAATAGTTCAATTTTAAAATATATTTTTTAAAAAAATGCTTTTGCCAATGATTGCCAAGTTCCAAATTCATATAATAAATTATTAATAATAATTTAAGTAATATAGGGAATAATATATGATAAACATTTAACAATCAAACTCAAATAATATAATTGGGAACAATAATTTTTTTTACACAGCATTATCTGTATTTTTCTTTAATTGGATATTTTTTTAAAGATATTTTGACCTAGATTCGTTATACGTAAACTTGTTTGTAAAAAAAAAGATTATTCTGAGTACCAGATTAGTGACTATAATAATTTGGTAAGAAAAAACATAACATTAAAACTCGCATTTCACGTATTATTAAATATTATGGTTCATAGTTTCATACACTCAATGTATTCGACTCGATGAAGGTTTGTGTAAGATATGTATTATGACTTAGTACGTAGTTTTCAATTTTCCACTATAAAAATTATAAAACAAATGTTTTCATTACATTCTGAAATTTTTTCACAGTAAATACATAGTAGAAGCTCTATACTTCAAGAACTTTAATTTTACACATCCATACAATGCTAAAAGCTGAATTTTTCGGTTCGGCAGTATAAAATATTTATTAAGTATTGTGATCGGAAAATTTGTTTGTTTTCTTTTAACTCAATATGGAGTTGATATCTGAAGAAAAGGAAAAATCGGTAAGTTGTTTAATATAAAAACCTACATTTAATTTTAAAAACCGTAAGCATTTTTCAATTATTATATTGTTCTAATTAACAGTTTTCGTTTTCGTTTCAATCAATTTACATATTTTTCCTTTGTTTGATTTACTCTTATAGTCTTATATTTTTTAAAAAATATAGGAATAGTTTAGGCACATGTAAATTTCACCGATTCCAGGACGTCGATTTTAGAGACAGATTAATAGTATTTAAATATTAAATTGCACTGATACTATAATATAAAGAAACAAATCCAATTCTACAAAATATAAATTTAACAACTTAGGTGGTACCTTCATAGTTTATTTAACCGGTCAAAAGTTAGTACCAGCGAAATTTAATTTTCTTGTACTGTTAAAGAAATCGTACCAGTAAAATGTAGGTACATACAAAAAAGGTATAATCGGTAGAATTTACAATCGACCATTAAATTTAAAATGAGAAGTATATAATATTATAACCTATTCAAAAAACAACTTCTGCTCAATTGCTCACACCTCACTTCCTCCTACTCAACTGCTCGACTGCTAGTCGCTCTCTTCCCCAACCACCTGCTCTAATTATACTACTGGCTTCGACTTATCAGCTACGTAAGCAATATATATTTTATTCATGCGCAACTCACACGCACGCATGCGCCCAACCACAACATCTCGATACACACTTTGCCGCTAACCTACACGGTCATCGGATATTCGGATACATTTATGCATTCGATAACTTGTTGATATATGTTTATAATTATAGTATAACACGTTGGGTATGTATATTTACATATATATTAATCACAGAATCCCCAATTCACACTTTGCAGCGAACCTATACAGTCATCGGATACGTCTTCGATAACACCTTGGACATATATATATTTACAATCACCCGTTGAAGAAAATCATCATCTTCGCTACAAATGTATGTATATTGCTTTATTCTATTTAAAAATTGAACATAAACCGATTTTAGATGAGCAATTATTCTAAGCCTATTACGCCCGAGTATGGTGGTAAAGAATTTTTCCGTATACTCGAGAATATTCCTGCTGAAGAACGTCCAAACGCCCACCAATTTAGAATGCCTCAAGAAAACGAACCCGTTTCCAGCGCCATGGTTAGTTTAGAAACTTAATAGAACACCTACATAATATACCTAGGAAATATAAATTAAAATAAAATTATTATTTAGACTCTAGCCGAAGATACCGACTGTAGAACCAATACCATACAGCTCACTCCTGTTAATTGGCATAAGGTGTATTCTACACCAATTCGTCGTGCTACGGACCCAATCCACGCCAATTCACCAGAAATTTTCCCACCAACACCCCTACCTAAAGCACCGAGGAGTCCACTTAGGGTAAGAGTTGATTTATTTCCGGATATGGGGGAATGGGGCGATAAATGGAGATCGTCATCACTAATTTCGTCAAGTATGATAGCTCCACCACGGAATCGGGATAAATATCGGCAGCAGATCCATGACATATCTCGTGCGACTTCACCACCAGATGTACTCTATGACCGAGCACAATACACGCCAATCTCTGAACATAATATTCTAATTATCGGTGACATTCTAAATATAGCGCCACATTCGGAAGATAACCAGCCAGATGAGCTAGTCTGGTGGAATGACGGGTATGACGACGAATTGAATACACATATGGATGTTTTTGAAGGGCGAGGGGAGGAGAATTATAATACATTTAATGAAACGTTCTTAAAAAAAATTTAAAATTAAACATTTTTTTTTTGTTATTATTCACAACTCGTATTTTTATGTAGCTGTTTAAATGTTTAAAAAGTACAGTTACATAGCGGGCACTGTTCATTAACGCCTTGAACTGATTCACCGAACGGGTAGTGACGTCACAATTGTTAGCGGCGTCGAGTCTTGGGTCAGGGACTCAGGGTGTGTGATCTATTTAATTAAAATGTTCGATTTTTAAAAATGGGCCCTAATCGAAACACCTGATTTCACATTATTTATATGTCCAACCCCTAAAATCGATAACATCGATTTATCCGTGTTCAACTGTGTTTTTATATCAGTACCTCAAAAATAGAAAATGTTGAATTATTCTTGTTTGTATACCAATAATTAACCTAAATAATAATATATAACATAATAAAAAACATTTTTATATTGTAAATAGAAAACTCATTGCTAGGATAGTGTGTTTGGACTATTATATATATTGTAAATTTACTACATACATGTAACAACTTTGTACCTTTGTATAATCATGTTTTTTTCTGTTTCAGATAAATGGAAACCAATATTAAATACATAATTTTTTTTTAGTTAAACCTTATAAATTTTTCTTATACCTAAGTTAATGTATGTATATATGTTTGCATAGAATAACTCCCTGTCGAAACTTAAAATATAATATAATTGCTTATTAAAAAAATATATATATTTATATTTTATATTGTATACAATTAAATATTTTAAGAACTATTTATAAACAATTTTTTTGTAATGGTTTTAAAGTAGACACACTATTTAAGATTTAAGTTCTTATTAAAATTAGACATAAGGACAAATATAGAACAATACAAGATTTTAAAACACTATAATATGTTGAATAGATATTGTGTATGGAATATTTCGTCATCAACGGATCGAAAGTAGAGTTGTAAAATTCTTTACCATTATGTGAAAATTATGATTTATTCCAATAAAGTCAAAATAACAACATACTTAGACAAAAATAACACAAATACATTTATAACATGTTCTAACAAAATCTACAGTATACTGCAGCTATACCTACCTATACGAATAAAATATAATTTAATTCTTAAATTATTACCAATAGCTGCTACTTTTTACAAAACTGATTCAACAATTTTTGCCTAAATCGTTTACATAAACGTTCATATACATATTACAAAGCAAATATTGATATTGTTTCATGGTACTTCTAGGTATAAATATTACATAATACATTCAATTGATTTTACTCCAGTTTTAATAGAGGAATTTTTAATACCATAAAAGTAGAGAGTAGAGTACTCAATACTTTTATAATATTATAATAATTATATTGACAAATAATTTGATTTTAATGGACATGTAGAAACCTAAAATAAATATAATATGTTCTAAAACAGAAAAATATTGACCATTCTAACAATAAACATACTTACTTAATTTTATACACTTATATTACAACGAAATGGTGATACAACGGTTAAATATTAGAGAAGATAATTAAACTGAGAATTGTAATTAATATCTAGTACCTAGTGAGCTACAAACAATTTGTATGAAAAAATACATTTGTGAATAGTTTAAGATTATTTACAAATGACAAAGGAAACTAGAATCACACAATATGATGATGATATATTGACATCCACCACAATATTTAGTGTTGTCTTTGTATGAGTAATATATTATATTCGTGGTCACAAATTTGAATTCACTAAGGTTTATTTTTTAGATTATGAGCCTAGCGACAACTGTTTTTATTTCACATTGATGTAAAACTATTTACCAACAGGCTACAACCCATTACCCATTCACACACAATTTCAGTATTTATTTTACCGTTTGATTCAAGAATAAATGGAAAATAAATGTCTACACTAATATTTCTATACATTGTGCTCATTAGATTAAGTGAATATAGTTTAATTTGAGTGTTTCGTATATTATTATATTCGCTAGGAAACCTTATGAAAATATACACATGAGTTTCTATATTATATTATAAATATATTATAGAAAGTAGATACCTAGGTTACACAATAATAGGTTACTAAAAATAACCAACACTACAAAAATATCCAAAGGTTCAAAAAACAAACACACAGAGTATCTAATACGGGTTGAAAAATAAATTAAAATAACCTGTTTAAAAAAAAGAAGAATACTATTAACCCTTCGAAGTTTACATTCAATTATTGTGGTATGCCATGCCCACCTATATGCCGCAAATATCTCAATATTTTATTATTAACATTACAAACATTATTATTGACTATAAGTTAAAAAAAACAAAGTGTAATAATGAAAGGTATTACAATTTTCGTCATTGAATTTGTCTAGTCGTAACGAATAATATGGTGTTTTTGAATGTTATCGATCTTCAAACATAACTGACTAAAAGTTAAGGCGAGTATACGTACTATCAGGTGTCAAAAGCTTTACATTACAATGCTAAATTATAAATATTTATAGAAAATTATTTACCTATTCAATTTCAAAATAATTATACAAAAATATATTAATGATTGCCAAGTGGCAATTAAACACTATAATTTATTAATAATATTGTATGCATTTTAGGGTTTAGTCGTTCATAAAACATTAATAAAATAATAAACATTTAACAATCAAACTAAAATAATTATAATAAAATTATAGTTATTTTAATTTTTAAATGAGAATATTTTCCATGATTGAATACTTTATTTGTTGGACATTTTATTTCATGATATTTTAACCTAGATACATAATTCGTAGACTGGGTAATAAAAGAAGATTATTTCGAGTACCAGATTAATTATTGTAATTTGGTAGTAAAAAAATTATATAACATTAAAAGATGTACTACATACAACATATTAAGGTTAAATTATAGTTATACTCTCAATGTATTCGGCTCGATAAAACTGTATGTGAGATGTACATTTTTACTTGGTACGGTTTTTAAACTCTTCAATTTTTCACCTAAAAAATCGTAACACAAGTATCATTCAGCTTTAATTAAACTTTGACATTTCGTCAGAGTGAATACGTGATTGTAAAAACTACTAGGTAAGTTCAGGAACTTTAATTATCCACACCCATTGAGTGTTCAAAATTCAAAAATTTCTGTTTGGCATTATAATATATTTATTGTCTTGTGATCAGCAAATTCATTTCTTTTGCAGTACAACATGGATTTGATGTCTGATCAAAAGGAAAAATCGGTAAATATATATAATATATATACTTACAAAGTATTTAAAAAACACGAGTATTTTTCAATTTTATGGGCCACACTATGAACACTTTATTTTTTGTTTAAATCCATTTACAACCTGTCATTTTATCAAGTTCAATTTTTTTTTAAATAAATATGTTTTTGGGCTGGATACAAGTTATTTGTTTTTCTGACCAATTTTGAGTAAGATTTTGTTGTCATAAATACAAACATTTTATGTTGTTTATTCTACGTTTTCAAAACAAAAATTTATTTTTAGAAATACCCCAAGTCTACATGGTTTTTAGTGATCAATGAATTTTGTGAACGGTTTACATTTTTTGGATTGAAAAGTGAGTGAATGAAGTTTGATGTAATTTTATAATTGTAATAATTGATTAAAAATCTGTTCAGCCGTTTTGATTTTGTACCTGACAAAAATATTGAAGCTTGACGGAGACCAGTCGACGATAATATATCACAGTTTCATATTTCTATCGTACTTCGTACCATTGCCATGCGCGATATTAGGAGACTCTTATTGGGGAAAATTTAAGTACGCTGTGTAAATTTGGTTTCATGTTCTTCATAAATAATATGACTATCTAATGTTTTTAAGTTATGATTTTCATGATATAATTTTTTAGAACAATTGTATATTTGTCAGCTATCTACGTACTGGGATGCATCGTGCTCACCGGCGCATCTATCGCAAATATGTTCAGCCTAGACGTTCAAAAGTTAGTCAACAATTATTTTACAGTATATTATAAGTATAATTAATTTCGAAAACCCAGTCACTTTTTATGTCGAATTCGTTTAACATAATTTATATAAACATATATTTGTTCCTCAAAAAGTTGCCAACATAATGCACACCACATTTCCTTCGGTGATTTCAATTAAACTTTGTCAACCAGATAGGACACCGCGAATAATACATGCATAGATACATCAATTTAACTTCGCGTCGACCTCATCCACAATACTCAGCCCATGACTAATAAAGTAAAATATTCGTACTTATTTGCAACTGCCTCGCCATCCCTACGTAACTCAAAAAGTAAAACTACAAAACTAAAACTAGACTTCAGCACTCTTTAACAATACAATTTCACATTTATTCTCCAACTATTCTTTTTCTTTTAAGCAACTACTAGTTGAATTTCTGTTAAAGTTAAACTGTGCTTATGCATAGTTAAAAATGTAACAATATCACATTAAGTACCCGATTTTAGCTGAAACGAGTCAAACCTCAATTTAAATTTAGTTTAAATCATAAATTTAAGTCAAGTGTTCTGGTTTACCTATGTCACTGTTTTATTTTAAAATTGTATCAAAAAAAAATTCGTTTGTAACTAAGTTGTAAAATATGATGTTGTTGGAAATCTAATTTTAATACAAAAACGCAGATGTAAAACAATTTAAACGTGTGATAAAGGTTAAAGAATAACTATTAATGGATCTCATCAGGACAATCATATTTATTTCTATATGCTTATTTAAGTGTGATAATGAAATTTGTAATTACGTAATGTGCTACGGTTATTAAGATTCACTATACAGTCGCTTGCAGTTCAACAGAGAATAGTATTATTATTTACTCTTTGTTTGAAGTCGTTACGTAAAAAAATGGCTGAAACTTTGAGTACGTTTGCCGTATTCCTATAGCAGCGAGATAAATTCTTTAAAATTACATATTTGTAAGTTTATTTATTTTTTTTTTTAGAATCTTTGCTTTCTTTGGGTTATTTTTAATATCCATGGGTACGGGTGGTGTAAAAACTTGCAATTTTGCGTTTGGTGGAGATCAATTTCAATTGCCTCAACAAGAAAAATATTTACAATACTTCACCACCAAGTTCGCGTTGGCCGTATACATTGGATCGTTATTTTCGACATTTTTGATGCCCGAATTGCGACACAGCATACATTGTTTTGGCAGAGACTCGTGTTTTCCGTTGGCTTTCGGTGTACCTGCCATTATGATGTTTATTGCCATAGGTATATATTGTGGATATTTATAATAATTATCATCTTCGCCTAACCTGACCTAGGTATTTTTTCTTACTGTGTGGTACAAGAGTAGATAAACAAAAACTACTTTAATACAACTTCATCCACCAGTACTATTTTAAAAATCACAATCCAATCACAAGTTTTTCTCGATCACACTACTTCCACATAAAATACATCCATGGTTTAATATAACTTACTGTCATATTCCGTTTTACATGCTGCAGTGATAATCATAGCTGGAAAAAACATGTACGTGAAGAAAAAACCGGAAAATAAAGTCTTAATCAGGACGTTTGGATGTATTTTTG